ATAATTATTTATAAATATATAAACTTTCAAATAATATAAATTGATACCTAATTAATTAATAATGTAATATTTACAAAAATATTTCATACAATGTGTTTTCAAGGGAATTAATATTAACAGGAAAAAAAAAAAAGCAGAAGCTGAGAGTCGAATGTTGATGCTGAGAGTCAAATGTTGATTCGAGATCCTGCGGCCGACTGAAGAGAATTGCAGCACACAGCAGGAGAAGGATCTGACTGGAGATGGCTTAGGATATCTCCAGCACACAGGAGAATTAGAGCTAGCAAGGTGGATATCTGCAGCATGGGTGCAAAACACGTACGTACATGGAGATCAATGGCTGAGCTAGGATGGTGCAGCACGTAGGAGAAGGAAGCGTCAAGAATTGCATAACACATGGAGATGGCTGAGGATATATTGTCCAGCATGCGCATGAGAATGAGGTGAGCTGAGTGGACATGCATATGGAGATGGCTGGGGATTGTGCAGCATAGGAGAGAAAAAGAGTTTGAGGCATCTGTAGCACGCATGGAAAATGGGGGAGGAAAGGGGTATATAAAGGACTTTTAGCAACAAGAACTATGTTGCTGAAAGTCCATCCCACCATTACCATCATGTTCTATGTTGCTGAAAGTCCATCCCACCATTACCATCATGTTCTATGTTGCTGAAAGTCCATCCCACCATTACCATCATGTTCTATGTTGCTAAAACATATTCAAATTTTAAATTTACACTCATCAACAACGTACAACATGTTGCTAAAATTTAAAATTAATATTTTTTTCCTCCCACTACTCAATTATTAAAATTAATATATTTTAATTAATTTTTAATCTTAAAAAAATTTTATATTTGAAATTTTATTTATTATTAAATTTTTATTAATCTATTAACTTTTATTTAATCCTAATAAATTAATTAATATAATTAAATTTTTTATTAATATATATAAATAATTTAAAACACTAATTTATTTAAAAATATGTATCAACATGTATATCAAGGTACATAAATATTTCACATAAACTTACTGCAATATTTGGCCCTTAGTCGACTTTTAATATAAGAGTCAACTCTTAAAAGAACAGAGTCGACTATACCCACCACTGAGAACTTTCCTTGCTCTCTAGAATTTGGTAGTCAAATGTTGCTCCTTTATAGTCGAATTTTGGAGGCATTAGAGTCGACTCTTTATGTATAGAGTCGACTCTAACCTGCAGCAAGATGCTCGAATCTCTCTGGAATTTGGGATTTGAATGTTGATCTTATATAGTTGACTCTTGGAGTATTTAGAGTTGACTCTTCATTTATAGAATCAACTCTAACCTGCAGCAGGATGCTCAAACCTCTCTGGAATTTGGGAGTCGAATGTTGATCCTATATAGTTGACTCTTGGAGGATTTAGAGTCGACTCTAACCTGCAATAGGATTCTCGAACCTCTTTGGAATTTGGGAGTTAAATGTTGCTCCTATATAGTTGACTCTTTGAGGAGTTAGAGTCAACTCTTCATGTATAGAGTCGACTCTAACCTGCAGCACATGCTCGAACCTTTCTGGAATTTGGGAGTCCAAGGTTGCTCTTATATAGTCAACTCTTGGAGGGTTGATAATCGATTCTTGATGTATATAGTCGACTCTAACATGCCTGAAATGCTCGAACCTCTCTAACATGCCACAACTTTTGTATTTGTTCTTACTACACTTTGATTTTACCATATCACATTACATAGAATGTCATTTATCATATCACATATTTTCAATTCATCACATTATTATAAATGTGTACCACTTATATAATTCCCTCATCTCATAATCATAAATTAAAATATAAGTATATAAGTACCACTTGCAAAATTTAACATGATCATTTACATATTCTAAACTTGTAAGTCATAGTAATACAGTTAATATCCTAAATCATTCAATTCCAACTGACATATACACCTATGTCCTAACAAGTTCAAATCACCCTTCCAAAAACTAAAAGTGTTTTCCTCAAGCATCCAGAACATGCTAAGTTTTGCGTTCGCAATCTCATGCACACTGATCATTCCGGCCCAAATAGACCCTAGTAATCTGCATCAAATCTCGACTGGTAACCATAATCATCTTATGGGGGATTGGCTGAAGATGTACCTGGAGATCCTGACTGTCTCCCCATTTGGCCCATGGGAAATGCAAGTTCTATTGGCATTTGCATTGGCATTGCATGAGGAAATGATGGCCCACTAGCATGAAACGATGGCCCAGCAGTAGGGAATGATGTCCCTATAGGAGGAAATGCTTGCCCAGTGTGAGGCAATGATGGGGTAGCACTAGGCGGGCGCATCCCGTAGGCACTAAAAGCAACAAATTGCTGTAATAGAGATGCCTGCATCCTCCCCATGTCTTCCAGCATCCGTTGCATTGCTTCTCGTTGCTCTTTGACTTGCCTTATTTCGTCTCTCATCATTTGCATTGCCTCCCTATCTTTGGCTTGTTTTTCAGCCATGTCTGATATCATCAAGCTCACATATGAAGTCCTCGTTGGTTGTCGTTTTCTATATGTAAGCCCAAGTTCCTTTGGGTTTACTTGTGAACCAATTCCTGGCATGAAATTGCTATGGCATCCCCCAACAGCAGTTGCCCAAGTGTCATTATCCCGAGGTGGCCATGATGCTGAGTTTGAGCCATATGTAGCAGAGCACTCACTGACATATGTATCCTACAAAAGTAATGCAAAAAAAACCTATAACATATAATTGCAAATTTTTAAATATTGTATACCCATAACAATACTGAAAATGTAATCATTATTATTTACGAACAAGTGATAACAAAGTAGCAATCATCGAGAGACAATCAATACCCAAACAAAATTGTTTCATGAACACCTACACATACTAATACTTACTCATGCAAAATTTTTGTTATATTTTATTTAACACCACTAACTTTATTAATAAACCTTTTATTCACTTTTTTTAACAATCTACGTCACTCATAGAAAACTTTTTATCTAATATGTTTGCACTTACATGCCGAGTCTTATGTTGTCGCCACACCATGGAGCTTCTTATCCTTGGGGGACACCTTTTCGTAAAGTATGTGTTTCCTTGTATAGCTCTTGGTGTGCTAGCCTTACCCCCCTAGCAGCTTTGGTCTGTATGTCACAACCATATTATACGAGGTTTGCAAGTTATTTATATTTATCGTTAATCGATAAGTATACAAAAATAATATAACTTGTGTTCATTATCTATTATATATATATACACACTTTTCTTTCTTTTCTTACTTACCATCTGTTCTTTATGTACATCAAAACTCACTGATCCTGTAGTGTGTGTAACTCATTCCCCAAATGCTCGATTTTTCTTCCCCTCTCGCTAAGGTTGTGAAACTCATCAGAATCCCAATAAGCGCATAATGTAGGCCATAGGTGCTCAGGCACCCATACCGGCCTATACTCACTGTTTGTACGCCACTTATCCCGTTCATCCTTCATATTATTGCCCCATCTTTTCTTCATTGATCTTAAGAATGCCTTTCGGACCGCATCATCATCCTCTAAACCCCATTGATAATGTGTCTGTCACCACATACAAATAAATTATTTCCATGTAACTTAATAACATAGAATATAATAACACATGTATATACACCATATCCCATTTTTTCATATATACTTAATTACCATTTTGTCCATACGAAAGAGCTAATTGAAACGAATCAAAACTTTTAATACTTTATTGACAAACTCAAAATTATAAGGATTTTTGTGTCATATGATGACTATTGTGATACCATATTGTTTTACCGAAGTCATATGATGATTGTTTTCTTTTCTTCTTCTTCTTTTTTTTTTTTTGTTTTTTAATTGTATGCAGTAGTCATACCATTAAATTACCTGTATCAACCAATACAACAACAATAGTGACTTGTACTTCATCATATATGTTATTACGTTATCATTAATCATACGCTACATATTTGATGGAAGAATTATGTATGAAATGATAATTACTCTTACCTTAAACAACTCCCACACTTGCAGCCTTTTTTGTTCTGGGAACAAGTCATAGGTGAAGTAATCACCATCATAAACCCTCTTCCATAGGGTCGTAATCAATCTGGGGACTTCAACATCCAAGAAGGTGCCTTTATGCGACATTTGTATAAATAGTCTATCATCTGGTCTTCTTGCAGCCCTTTTTGGTTTGTTCAAACCTCTTCCCTTCTGCTTCCCTGTAATACCCCAAAATTTCCTAGAGCATATAAGTGGAGTTAGGGACTTAATAGTGAGAAAACATTATTAATGGACCTAATTGCCAAATTTTCAAACTTCAAAGGGGTTAAATTCTTATTGGATAAGGCCGGCTGACTCATTTCTTTTTTCTTTTTCTTCTTTCTTTCTTTCTCCCCCAGCACTTTCGCGTGTTTGCTCTGTTTTTCTCCCTGCTGCAGCCGAAGTGAACCCAGCCATTTTCCAGCGTCCCCATCTGCAAATTGGTAAGAGAACTTGATGATTTTTTGTTCCCCTCTTACCCAAGAACAAGTCTAGGACCTTGAACTTCTCTCTTTTGCAGAAAAGCCGCCGGATCTGCTCTGCTTCTTCCCCCTCTGCCGCCGGCTGCTGCTGGTTTTTCTTGGTAAAAACCAGCCCATAAATTCCTCTTTTCAGCCTTAGTTCATGTGAGTTTACTCTAATTCTCCTTTCTTTCAATTGCTAGAAGTTGCGTGAAGTTCCCCTGCAATTCTCCCCGCCGGCTCCTCTTCATCCCGCCAGCTCCAGCTTTGCTTGTTGAGCATTTCTGGTAAGTTGGCTTCTTTAATCTCTTGAAATTGGTTGTTAAGTGCTGATTTGAGTTTAAGTGGCTAGGCTATATGAAATGGGCTTGAGTTGTCCGAGAG